GAATTTGTTTTATGATTGCGGGTATGCTAATGTTGGGTACATGTATTTTAAATCTTTTTGTTGAATTGTGCCCTTTTATAATTATGTAATGGCCTTCTTTGCTCTTCTTAGTTTGTATTGGTTTAAAATCTGGTTTACCTGATATAAGAATAGCTACTCCTGCTCTTTTGTTTTCTATTTATATGGTATGCCTTTCTCCTTCCCTTTACTGTTAACCTGTCAGTGGATATTGTTACATGTGAAAAAGTCTCTTGAAGACAGTGTATGGTTGGGTCTTCTCTTTTTATCCAACTTGGCACACTATGCCTGTAAACTGGGACATTTAACCCATATCATTCAGGGTTAGTATTGAAATGTGGGATTTTGATCCTTTCCTCATGTTGCTAGCTGGTTGTTATGTAGACTTGATTGTGTGATTGCTTTATAGTGCCTGTGGAATATGTGCTTAGGTGTGTTTCTGTCATAGCAGGTATTATTCTTTCAATTGCATGTTTAGCAGTTCCTAAGACCCTATCTATTATAAGGCTCATCTTAAAAGAAATTCCATAAGTGTTTCCTTGTCTGAGAATAACTTTATTTCTCCTTCACTTATTAAGTCTTGTTTGGTGAGATACAAAATTCTTGGTTGGAATTTTTTTTCTTTAAGGAAGCTAAAAATAGGCTCTCAATCTCTCTGGTTCGTAGTATTTCTGCTGAGAGGTCTGCTGCTAACATGATGGGATTCCCTCTGTACATGACTTGACCTTTCTCTCTAGTTGCCTTTAAGTTTTATTCTCTTATTTCTCATAGAATACTATGTAGCCATGAAAGGAAATGAGATGGTCCTTTGCAAGGACATGAATGGAGCTGGAGGTCGTTATGCTTAGCACACTAAAGCAGGAACAGAAAACCGAATACCACATGTTCTCATTGATAAGTGGGAGCTAAATGATGAAAATGCATAGAAACATGAGGGGGAAAACACACACTAGGGATTTTCAGAGGGCAGGGGTAGGAGGAGGGAGAGAATCAGAAAGAATAGTTAATGAATTCTTGGCTTGATAGCTAGGTGATGGGATGACGTGTCCAGCGAAACACCATGGAACACATTTACCTGCATAACAAACCTGCACATCCTGCACATTTACCCCTGAACTTAAAAGATGGAAATTTTAAAAAAAATTACTCTTTGTGTTGAACTTGGTGAATCTGATGACTGTACACTTGAGTATGGTCATCTTGCTTAGTATCTAGCCAGGGTTCTCTGTATTTCTCAAATTTGCATGTCAACATATCTAGCAAGATTAGGGAAATTTTTCTGAACTATATCCATAAATATATTTCCTGAGTTATTTATTCACTCTTCTTCTCTCTCAAGAATGCCAATGAATCATAGATTTTATCTGTTTACATAGTCCCATATTTCTCAAAGATTTTTTCATTTTTCTTAATTCTCTTTAAAAAAAAATACTTTCTAACTTACTTGATTCAAACATCTGTGTTCAAGTTCTGAGATCCTTTCCCCAGCTTGGCCTTTTCTGCTGTTAATACTTTTCATTGCATCATTACATTCTTGTAGTGAACTTTTCAGCCCTAGAAGTTCACTTTGATTCTTTCTAAAAATGACTATTTTGTCTTTCAACACTTGGATTATTTTACTGGATTCCTTGGATTGGTTTTCACCTTCCTCCTGAATCTCAATGAGCTTCCTCATCATTCAGATCCTGAATTCTACGTCTGTCATTCCAGTCGTTCTGACTGGTTAAGAGCCATTTCTGGGGAGCTAGTGGGCTCATTTGGTGGTATAAAGACAATTCAGCTTTTTT